GGGGCGGAGGCCGAGTGGGCGCCAGTGCCTGCGCTCCTGCCCGCCGCGACGCCCGCTCTGCTCCGCTCCGCTCCACGCGCGCCAGCCCCGCAGCCATGGGCGTCCTGCAGGTACCGCTCTTCACGAGCCCTTCTCCTTCCAACTCCACTGCTCCACACTCCGTTTTCCATTCACCAAGTTCACTGTATCCCATGATCTCAAAATTTAACAGTTTTCACTCATGATTGTTTTCAAAATTGCACACGTACTGTGAAATAACCACACACGGCTAATCCAGTAATTCAGTATATTCATTTAGCCTTAAAATAACAGATACTTCTTTTTACTATTTGCTTGTCCAGCTTTTCATTAATAAATAACTTACTGCGGCGCATCCGGCGAGTATCTTCACATTAAAAAGTTTTTGAATTGGTGAGAACCCGAATGGATAAGTGACGTTTTATAAATTCTGAGAAAAATTTGTTTATTTTAGGCTATATTTCAGTGGCAATGTATTTTCGTGGTTTTAATGAGCACTTGAAAAACTATGGATTCAATGATGAAAGCACTACGACTTTTCAGTGATATTGATTTAAACAGATTTCTCAGAATTTATTAAATCTCACTTATACCGTTCTGGTTTTCACACGTTTTCACACAAAGTTGCATGAAAAAGTATCAATTAAAATACGTTTAATTTTTTTGTTTCATTATAAAATTAGGTTTAATTATCGTCAACATGATTAATCAAATCGTGCGATTCACGTAGATGGCGTGAAGGGAGTGTAGTATGCCAATTTCACCAATTTACTCGCAGGTATAATGAAACTACCAAACACACGTGTTGTCCAAGAATTCTTCGAAATATCCCAGGGCCGAATGAGCGGCTGAGAATTGTGCCAATCGATTTGTCTAGTCGAGAGGAATCGAATGAGCTATTGGCCTCCTCTGAACATGCTGTAAGTCACCTAAAAATTTCTTAGGATCTGAATGGATCTCCAAAGCGATGGTCTGTTCTGCCTGGGGCCGGAGACGCACGGAATGACCTCCGTTTATCTCGATTGGCGGCCGACAAGTGTCTCAATTACTATGCAAGGCATTTTGCAAATCCTTCTCCAGAGATGGTGATCTCTACACATATGATTCTAGTGTCCACAACCTCAATATATTTTAGGGCGATCTTGATACGTGAATACCTCTTGCAATTTTGGAATACTTTTTAAATTTGTATCCTCTTTGTCGTCGCTGTCGTCTTCCTCTCTGGAGGACTCTTTGCGATGCCCTAGCATTATTGATGACCTAGCCGGGTGGAATTTCGCTAGTTTCATCTCGCAGTCCGTGACAATTGTCTTCTCCCCAGGCAGAATTGTCGTAGATGATCTGAAACGCCGTCCTCTGTGGCCTGTTCCTTCAGGCTCTTTCATTCGCTCCAAATAATACAAAAATTACTTCAGAGACTCGAAAACTCTTAATGTTATTGGAATTAGCATTTTCGATTTTCAATGTTCGCAATCGCCAATGATGAAAGTGCATTGTATCAGAATCGTCTAGTGTTTATTTTTAATAAATGTAGATCGGAGCAATGATTTTGGTTCATATAATCAAACCTTCTCTAAATACAAGTTCCCTAACTGCAAGTCCGACGCGAGGCGCTGCAGAAGGGAAGGGCGGCACCGAAGGTCCGGCGTTCGCTACCAGCTGCCCCCGAACGCTCGCCCGCCACTCCCCCAAGCGCGCGAACGGGCTGCCTCCTTTCGGCTTTGAGGCAACCCACAGCACGTTGGGGGTTGGCGACTGTCTCATCGAAGACCGACGCCGCCTTTCCCAGCTTAAGACTTTCAAAGATAATCCCAGAATAACATAACTGTGCTTCAGGGGTTATTTTTTTGGGACATTTTTAGTTTGGCCTTTGTTTCCTGTAGTTCTGGATGTCTTTCTATATTACTTATTTCCAGTGCGCACAGAAATTGAAAGAAAACTATGCAGCCTCCCCTCCATACGAATGGTGCTTCTGCTTTTGTTAAATATCTAGGAACTCTAGTCCGAAAACAAAGTTTCTATTTTGACGGAATAAATGCAAATATTTAATTGTGTTGTTCCGTCTATTCCTAAACTGCACGTACCGACTGAATTTTCATAATCAGTGCGTCTCTGATTTCGGCACAACTGACGTCATTGGACGCCAAGGCTTCAAGGAAGAGGCCACCGGCAATTAAATATTTGCTATTTACGTGTTGCGTTTTCGATCAGCAACATTTCTGATATTCGTGGTGTGTACAGAATTGTACTACATGTATATTATACCATGTTATTGCAGTATTCGAGAAAATGTTCGTGTAAAAATATTTAATTTATTGCAATGTTATTCGAAAATATTTTATTTGTTGTTCTTGAACAGCGTGCGCGCTACTTTTTGTAATTTCATTTTATATGGTTTTGTTCAGCAGCATTTTTGCTTCTACAGGTCACTAATTGAAGCATTTTTCCTTTTTCTTATTTCGTAATTATTTCCCTTTTCTCACCTGGCTCCGATATCGATCAAGACGGAAACTTTGTCGTCTGCAAACCTGAAAAACACGAGGGGGCTATTGCGTTTTGTTTTTCGCTCCAGGTAGAGGCGCGATATCAGACAAGTTGTGAATTGTGGAAGTTGAGGAAGGGTAAAACACGTCGCTGTGAGAGAGCGAGACAATGCAAGTCTTTGAAGATTTATTTCCTTGATGTCAACAAGATTCTCAGGAACATTCAACAAATACTATTTTCAACATCTTTCTATTATGTTTTGGTGTCAACTGACTTCTTCGCAGAAGCCAGATAAGGAAATCCGCCTCGACCGCCACGCCCCTCAATTAGTAAACAAGTTACACGTTCGACGTAGAATCTCGGTTAATGATGTCTCTACTCTTCATACAAATACCATATTCTCCAAATGTCTTCGCATGTATTAGTCTTTCGAGATTTGTTGGAAGTGCATCGATGTAATCTCTTCTATATGGATGTACACAGGGAGGCAGAGGGAAAGCAGACCCTGGCCCTTTTAAAATTTTGAAACAGGTCCATAGCGTTACGCAATTAAACAGCTTATGCCTTTAAATCTGTTAAATTCGTTATTTTTAATCTGTAAAGTTCAGAAATTGTTATACAACATTTGGGGAAGAGGCTCTCCATGACATCTAGGAAATAGTTGAACATAAAGTCAATTTTATTTATTCATTGTGTCATTAAATTGATAAGTTAATTCTCCTTGTAGAATGTTGTATTTATTTACTGACAAAATGTAATGTACAAGTAATAAAGTTTAAAGGAAACAGGAGCTCAGAAATTAGGGGATATAAGTTCCCCCTTATGTTTTAAATTGTACGCATTAATACCCTTCTTTATTAGTTATTTATATTTTCTCTACATATCTTTTCAGTACATTTGATCATATCTGCTACGTTTAGACATCTTTCAAATTCTTTTCTTTCTCGGAGTTTCGGTCTGTGGCTCGGGTGCTGTGCTATTCCTGCATTCGTCTGGAGGAGATCAGGAATCCCGCACGTGACAGAGATCGAACCCTGACATTCCAATTAGCGGGAGAATCCAAAATTTTCTTAGTATTTTTTGAAAGCAAATCAGTTGCAAAGGCGACCCTGCTAATTAGCTTTCAGGATCTTTATTTGGCCAATTAGTTTCCTGTCTTTTGAGCTCACTTGCATTTCTTATTTTGTAGGTCCGTTGTACTTTCAATATTTATATCCTCAGCCACATTTCAAAACTTTCTATAAGTAACTTTTTTGTTTCAACGTATTTGTCCTCGGATCGCAGCCATAGCCAATACCATCTTCGAAATATCTCCCCAATCGGGTACTATGGGATTATCGACGAATAAAATAAGTAGTTGTTTAGAGGCTCCCATACTGGGGGAGCTAACCGAAAAAAGTTGTCTAAAAATGTCGAAAACTTTTTTATTTATGTAAAGTAATTGGTAATCAAATAGTACACTGTAAAAAAGTGGATTTAAAAATTGAAAAATATTTTCTAAATACTCGATAAATGTTAAATTATTCAATTAATAAGCAAACATAAAGTATTGAAACTGAAAGTATAATTTTTTAACAATAACCTCGAAATATTCCAGAGTCGAATTTACAGAGGTGGCTGGGGCGTTTTTAGTTAACGTGAAGGGAGGCTGAAGATGATCGGTACTCTTTCATGACTGCAGGTAAATGTGTCATTGCGCAATGTCGCCGGTGTTTGTCAGAAAAGCGCCGCCGCATTAACCCTGGGCGGTTGCTAGCGCGCGCTCGAAACTCGTCCCCCAAGGCCGCCCGGCGCCGCGCGCGCCGCGCCCCTGTCTCCAGGCAACTGGCGCGTAAACAAGTGCGCGGCGCGCGGCGTGCAGCCTCGGCACGCGGTCCAGCGCCGGGAGGGCGAGGAGGCCCAGCGGGTCGAGCCCCCCGGAGGGGGGGGGGCGTTTTCAAAGCTAACTAAGGCTGGTCTGATTCCGAGCGCGTCAACTCTTAAGACCAATAGTCCCGTAAGTGTCGTGCGTGGATCATCCCCCATTGGATGATTCCCTCCAGCTGAGCGCCGCCTCATAGGGAACAAGCTCTGTTCTACCGCCCGGTCTCCCGGCACGGGGGAGGAAAGGACGTAGAAGAGGAGGCGCGCGGTCTGTGGCTCCATTTTTAAGGATACTGCTCCGGTATTCGCCTTGTGTCGATAGGAGAAAGGACAGAAAACTACCTGTTAGAGCAACCGGCAGCTATAATTCTCCTCCAGACAGCAGCTAAATTCGTCCTAGTTATGTAGCAGGTGTCGAAAATCCTTCCACCGTCGGGACTCGAACCCTAGAAGTTTCTGGTCAGAGGCTCTGTGCAAACGAAGTAGTTCGATTTCATCTACTACCCTGAGAATAATTGTAGTGGCCGGCTGCTCTCCTCGATAGTTTTCCTTGGTTTCTTCGATAAATACAGGCGAATGCCGGAGTAGTACGGTTAGCAAACGGGAGATCTTTCCTTCCATATCCTTGCTCTCTTCTTCCCCCTTCACACACACACGCTCACACTTGCATTCATCACATTACCATGAATGTCAGGGGTTTAGAGCTTGATTATTAAGATTGACATTACAAAGTAACACAGACCTGGAAATTCACTTTCCCAATCAGGTAACCCCAACATGGATGATATTTCTGAATGCATTACCTTCCAATCTTCCCTGATGGAAATTCTGAATTCGAACCCACACCCTTTGGTTGCGAGCAGAGCGGTTGCAGCCGTCACCGACTGCGAGGGCATTCACATCAACCATCGCCGATCTGAATCAGTGAAACGCCTAAGTGCTTTAAAAACGTGAAAAATAAATTGAAAAAAAAAAAAACCCTCCACTATCGAGAATTCCTGACCTTTCGAATCTCGGAAAAAGCAAGTCACCAAACAGGTCGCCGGCAATGGAAAACTACCAAGCAGCTAAAAAAGGATGAAAAAGAGAAGTGGAAGAATATCCAGTTTGGTTACACATCCCGTCACATTCCAGTTTCCATTTCTTTCTGTCGCTATAGTCAGGTCTCTTCGTTGACTCCTGAACTTCTTTTCTACCCAGACACCCTCTCGATTAGACACAGTGGACGGTATACAGGGGGTTAGGTTCGAAGGAGGCTTTGGACAGTTCGCGAGCGTTTCGGCGGGTGAATCGATGCAACGGGGATTCAAAAGCAAGAAATGTTCCATCATTACGCCACATGTTTCTTTTTTAATTCTTGGCTCTTCTCTTGTATCAGTAATGTACTCATCAGTGAGGCAGCAAATGATGCCGCAAACTCACTGATGTCGAGTTATATCTCCCTTTAATTACGTCTTTTTATGAACGAATTAGTAACAAAATTATAGAATACTCCTTTCTTTGTGTTTTCCAAAATGTAGAAGTAAAGTGATTTTAAAAATATTGTATGCTCTAAGACATTTTCGCGATAGGGCTGAGAGCTTCAATTGATGTGAGTGCAATGTCTCTGACCGGGAGCTCCTCGAAGGAGAGAGGGATTTTTGATACTAGCTACATAGCTAGGTCAATTTCAGCTGCTGTCTGGAGGAGAGTTCTAGTGGCCGGCTACTCTGATGGGTAGTTTCCCGTGGGTTCTCCGATCAATATCAGGCGAATGTCAGAGCAGTGCTCTACAAACGGGCCATGGACCATGCACAATCTTCACTTCCTCATTCTTGGCTCCTTTATCTCCCCTTACATACTCACACCCAGTGACATTAACTGCACCATCACACACGTAGTCGGTAGCTTCCTGCTAGTTCCGGATGGAGCGCTGCCCAGCTGAAGGAGGTAGCTGTACACACACACACAAGGGATCCCCCCTCCCAGCAGGGGAGGAACGCCGCTACCGCTCATGCGCCACCCTAGGGACCACAGCAGTTGGTGCCACCCATCAATGGGTGAGCACGTGAGCCCGTGAGGGACGAAGCCTCCGGAAGCTCTGCGGGCCGCGTGCGTCAGGGAAGGGAAAAGGAAAAACAAACGAGCAAGAGGCGGGGCGAGGAGGCTCGCGCTGGACCGGTCTGCGGCAGCAGGTGGATGGGGCGGGGGGGGGGGTGTTGCCAGGGCGACAGGAGGCGCCGGCCGACCTTCGCTTGTCTCGATCGTGGCAGGGCGCCAGGCGCTCGGACGGCCGAGCCATGACGCGGCGCGGCCCTACTTTTAATATTGTTATTATTATTTTCAACTGCCTCAACAGTGTTGTACGTAATCACATCGGAATTGAGGTTCGAGACGTATTACACTTGACACATTGTTTGGCTTCATCAGAACACAAATAAAATCAAATTTAAGAACGCAAGTCAGATTTCATTTAAATAAATAATAGAAATAACTTATTCACATGAACCGTCCAGTATCGTGCCCTATTACTATTCCTACATCACGTCCACACGGCACACACTGGCCCTGCATTGTTGGTTAAACGGAAATCGAGTTGAATTCAGTCTCTCAAGTACCGCAAGAGTATCACAGACGTCTGAATTTCTGATAAGTAGCTTTCTAACTGAAGGGATTCTAAGTGTTTTTCTTCTTACTGTTAATAATAATAAGTTATAATTTATGATAACATGTACATGCAACTTTACTTACAAGTTGATCATTCTTCAGATCTTTCATTAGCTGCCAACTTACAAATAACATTACAAATTAATATAATAAATATAGAGATTTCTGAAAGAAAATACCCGTTTAGCTGATATTCACATTGTCTAATTGACACGTTTGTGTGTCTTTACAAATTGCGTCATGTCACTTCCCAAACCTCCGCAGGAGTGTCATTTCATTCTGTTGTGAGAGAGAGAGCGGCTTTCGTTAGCTCCGCGCCGCTCGCTCTCTCGCCACCCACCAACCCCAGCGCTCGTCTCACTCCACTCACTGCCTTCGCTCTCGCGGCCGCTGGGCGGGGGGGGGGGGGTACAATGGTCTAGGGAATTTAGGGGGTCGAAGATGAATCCATTTTGTCAATGAACAAATGGTGGCAAATATCATGACTCGTATAACGAAGTTACAAATGTGACATTTAGCCCTGATTAGTAAGTAACATACACTAGTGTTGAGCAGGTTCACGAATTATGACAGGGCCAAAACTTGTACCTGCAAAACCATCGCACGATGATTTTTTTCCGTAGCCGAGATGTAGCTTCGGTCCCTATAATCTACAATATTGCACAAACCGAGACGCCGAGAAGCAAAGGTGGTCGAGTGACATTTTTCCCGACAGTGAAAATTACACAAGTTGTATTTTTTATGTTACTCACGATATTTTGATGCACACAATTTCAATTTGTTCTGAATAAATATTTAATTGCTCGACTTTAAATCTCAGTCTCTGTCATGTTTTCACTCACAAGCTTTGCTCACACTTGTCTGAAATTACATCTATACGTTTTTGCATTCAACTATGTTTTTACAGAAATTCTTTTGGCCTCTTGAAGCATGAATTATAGTAATTCAAGATATAACAGAATAAAACACCTCTTTATTCGCGAGGAAGAAGAGATTGGGATCCCAAGCAAAATAATATTTTAAAATAATCATTTTATTTATAATCTTTGGTCTGTTGTGTTCTTTGTAAGAGAGACGATGACATGAGAAACGAAAAGCGCAGGAGAAACGAGGAAGTTAGGAGCTGAAAAGAAAGAAGTGGAGGGGCGAGCGGGCGACGAGCCCCCGTGCCCCGCCACGCCCCCCGGAGCCAGTGGGCCCCCACTCCAAGGCCAGCCACCAATGCCTGTTGAAGAACGAGTCGTACTACATGATAATACAAAAAATTTAATGGCGTTTATAATGTTAAGTTTAAATACATGTTTGAAAACAAGAGACGTTAGGCGCCAGTTTCAAATAAGTAAGAATTAGAAATGGTTTATATACATTTGTTTGTATAAGTGTTTAAAGATGTAAAAACATCGAAGTTCAATTTGTACACGAATTTTTATAAGGGCAGTTTGCTGGTTGCAAGAATGGATGTCGGTACTATGATGTCACACTTTTGACAGTGTAGGCTCTAGAAATAACGGTGGACGACGGGAAGGTTACCGACACTTTCCACGATTTAACCTCAGGGATTTGCCATGTGTGTGTGTGTGTGATGACGTAATTACCCATGTCACGAACGGCATATTCGACAATCAGATGCAAAAATATCCATTTTATGAAAGATTTGTAGTAATGAAAAAATAGTGTTCAATCCTGATAAAAAACAACGATTTTACAAAACGTTTCATAATACAAATGTGTTGTAATCAAATCTTTAATTAAATTGTTTTGCCCACCACTTACGGGGAAGACTGTGACCTAAAATTAGATCAAACCTAACGTTCAATGGTTCATCTGTGAAGATAAGTTAAAAATAATAATTAAAATAACAAAAATAAACATAGCGGTGTATCTAAATTGTGACTACAACTCAAATATATGAACGTTGGTGCACATTTCAATTATTTTTACTATTGTGTTTGGAACGTTCGAAGTTCCCGACCAAAACCACAGAGTGTCTCAAAATTGGCGCAGTTGGTCGTCGCTTGAGCTTCGCGGCTCTCCCCCAGACGCACTACTCTCGCAGGCAGTGGTGAATGCCGATTGGTTCTTGCACACAATTATTAATAGCAATAGGGCATGTTCGATTGCATATTTTATATAAAACTCCGAATTTAACCGTGCGATATAAATCTTTTATATCGTTATCGTTTTCGAAAGGGTTTTAATAAAGAAAAGGTCATTGTGTGAAATAGGCATAATCCTAGGACTACCATGATACTTGTGTACCAATAGGGAGAGCCCTTATGTACAAACTCTTTCATTCCCCCACATTGGTATGAAGGAAAAATGATGTAAGCATAACATGTTTATTTGTATAAAAACGTACATAAACCATTTTTCCCTTTTCAAATAACGTGGATTGTAAGTAAATTCGTGCCTGACCATCCCTAACATGGAGAGGGGATACATCCAAAACGTAATGGAAGGTCCACGCGCCCTCTCTTTCTGGAGAGGAAAGGATCTTCTTGCGCATCCCGCCAGGACTTGAGATAACTTTCTAAAAACGGTGTTTTTTGAGTTCTTAAGCAATTGAATCATGTTTTGGGTGACTTACGGCATTTACAGGGGTCATCAATAGCTCGTTCGATTCCTCGAACGAGACAAATAGATTGGCAATACTTAGTCGGCTCCCTTTAGGATATTCTGAAGAACTCTTTAAAAACACGTAGTTTAGGTTTTTTGTAGTGCGGAGTATAGTGTGAGCCGTATGTTGAAGGATCGTGTGAAATATATTGCCAGGGGAGACAAAGAAGTAAGAGAGAGTTATTTCATGTCTGAAACAATATTGTACATGTTAGAAAGAAATGAGGTAAAACTGAATATTTTCAATAAATATAATGGATGCGATGTCGTAATGATTAAAATATTCGTTAATTGATACCTATAGGGTAAGTATCTGTGTCATCTGGTTTCAAAGCAGCTACGAGTACATTGACGAACCGACGTGAAAGGTCTGAGAACACTAAGCCGCAGAAGCAATTTCGCGGAGAGGCGGGAAAGTGTGCGTTGAGAGTAAGTTGAAGGGCGGCGCGCGTGCGCAGTACCAGAGCGGCTTCGGCAACGAGTTCGCGTCGGAGGACCCGCGCTGCCCCGGAGCCCTTCCCAAGGGCCAGAACAACCCGCAGCGCTGCCCCTACGGCCTCTACGCGGAGCAGCTCTCGGGCACCGCCTTCACAGGTGAGCCGCAGCCCTTGCCCTGGCGAAGGCGCCTTCATCTCGGGGCCTGGCGGTGATCTTCTCCGGGGGAGGGGCAGATCGGCGCCACGCGTCAGCTACAGGGGGTCCCAAGGAGAATTCTAGCGGCCGATCAATACCAGGCGAATGCCCGAGCAGTCCTTTCATTGTCTTCCTTGTCATATCCTCACCCCTTACATTCACCCACACTTAGATGCACTACACTACCGCACATGTCAGGCGAGCTGGGCGCTTGTGCCACCCCGGCGGTGCCCGATATTGGAGGTGCCTTGGAGAGCAACACGCGAAACGGCGTAGGTAGGCGCCGGCTCCGCTATCCAACTGGGGAGATCACCGCCACTTCCACTACGCACTAATGACCTTAGCAGGGAACGCGCCCGGAAACACTAATCAAGTGATCGCCTGGCTTTTATTCTGCAAGATGCTGAATGTATTGTAACGCAGCGAGTGGTTGTGTTTCAGCGCCGCGCAGCCGCAACCTGCGCTCGTGGCTGTACCGCATCCGCCCCTCCGCGCTGCACCGCCCCTTCGCCCCCGTGCGCCACGACGGCCTGCGCGCCGACTGGGACGAGCAGCCGCCCAACCCCAACCAGGTGAGCCAGCATGGCCTCGCCACAGCGCGGCTTCTGACCTCTAAGGCCTGCAGGGGACTCGAAGCTGATTCGTTTTCGCATCGACATGTTCCAACCGAGGCAGTGGAAGGAGTTTCGTCACTAGACACACAGCTAGGTCGAGGAGGAGAATTCTAGCAGTCAGCTGATCTGAACGGCAGTTTTCCGTGGCGTCTCCAATCAATACCAGGGAGCAGTATTCTAACAAATGGGTCACGGACTGCGCGCGATCATTTCTTCCCCTTCCTTGCCTCCTTCTGTCTCTTTACAAACAAACTGACACGCACTTACTTTCATGCACTTCACTACGAATACCACACATGTCTTGAGTCCAGTCGGCAGCTTAGCGCATTTCACCATCCAGTAGGAAAGGAATACCGGCACTTCTCAGGGTAAAACAAGTGCTACCCCAACGATACTATTAACCAGCAGTTAGCGAGTCCAGAAACATCAACGATAGTGTCTCAAAATAAATGTTACAAACTTCTAGGGCATGTAGAAACGTCGAAGATGCTCACCTTCGTCGACGGACAACGACGGAGCGGAGAGAAATTTCATTTAACAATGTTAAACACGTGCCACTGATTGTTAGGCAACTCATGCACGGTAACTGGGAACAATTCATTGTTTTTTGAGGCTCCCATGCAGTCGTGAACCAAAGCATTCTCATTCCCGTCTAACTCCATTGCACGTTGAGATGTTTAAGATCCAGAAGCAAATGCCACGCGTTTAACTCCGTTTTATAAAATTTCCCAAATATCCATCGGCATCGCCCCTTCCCACATGCCCTAGAGGTTTGTAACATTTGTTCTGAGCGTGTGCTCTGTTACCGCAGCTGCGCTGGCGCCCGTTCGAGGTGCCGGGCGCGGGCGCGGAAGCGGTGGACTTCGTGGGCGGGCTGCGCACCGTGTGCGGCGCGGGCGACCCGCGCCTGCGCAGAGGCCTCGCCGTGCTCGTCTACCTCTGCAACGCGTCCATGCGCGACTGCTGCCTGCAGGACGCCGACGGGGACCTGCTCATAGGTACGAAAGCTTTGCGGTATAAAGAAAGGCTCTCAACGAAGGGCGCGCTGTAGGAGGCTGCATCTCGGGGCTAATAGATGATGTTTTTGTTAAGGAATCGTGCGCTTAAGGAACGACGTAGCAAACTTATGTTATAAAATTCTAGAGCCGATAGATGGAGTCAAGAAACAAGTCTGCTTTCCAGCAAGGTCGGCTTAGTTGACATGGGCAGAGCGGACAATGCGGAAATAAGTCACTGAAAATCACCCACTACTCAGCTACAATATGAAGGTGTCTCAGAACAAATGTTACAAACTTCTAGGCCTTATACAAGTGGAAAACTATTACTTTTTGCCAACGATCCTGTACTGAGGTTTCATACAGGCTGATTCAGTGCTCGTTGCTAATACGCCCGGACCTTATCTTTTATGTGATGAACAGACTGAATTTTCCAAATTTGGACATTCTTAGTCGTTTAGTTTTGTAAATAATTAACGTTGAAGTTTGGACTTTGCACTTGTGCTGGTGTAGTAGGGGATCTGGCAAGTGAGCGACTGGCTTCACCTTGTCTCGCCACGTCTCTGGAAAACTCAGTTATTACTACTGTCAGAGAAGCTCCGGAAGCGAGCGCAAGGCAAACAGAGCGAGATCGCATCGACGTTCATCGCCTGGCGAACAAGTCAAGCAGAAAGATTCTTTTTATTTCCAGCGGAGGACTTTCTATTTCCAGCAGGTGCAGCATTTGCGCAGTACAGACTTACAGAGTCGTTCTGAATTCTCGAGGCATTTGCTGCGCAAAGGCAAAGAAAAGCAAGCATTTCTGCAACGGTTCGCACGAGGTCAAAGCCCCACAGTCCCTCGTCTGGCAAGTAGCCCATGCGGGGATATTCCTTTTCCATCCACAGCGGGTGCGGTGAGTGCGCAGTGCAAAGAAAACCAGCAATTTCGTTCTTTGATCGGCTGAAGCGTGCTTCACAAGAACTGGCGCAATTAATGTGCACAAATTGCATGTGAGGGCCGAAGAAATCAGCATGTTGCACGTAGTGTAGCCCACAAAGAGCGATTCTCTGTAAATGTGTCGGTTGGCATTGTGGATGAATTTATTATCGGTACTCACTGTTTACCCGAGCGTTTAAGAGGGTTCCAGTATCTAAATTTTTTTAAACTCAGGTTCTCCCAACGCTTTTGGAGCTGGGGTTAATGAAAGAGCGCGTCTGTGCCTCCGAAGTCGAGGATCGCGATGGCCCTCTTCGGCGCATTGGAAGCGGGGAGGCAGAAAGAGGCACAGCCCGGCGAAGTCGCGCGCGTCGCGAAGGTCGCGTTGGCGCAGACGCCTTCATTGCGGTCACGCCATTTTGAGCACTAGTAGAGCCCCCGTTACACGAGGTGGAATTGCGAACTTTTGCATACGCAATTATGATAAACTATTCTAAATAACACCTGAATAATTGTTTTTCACACTATTTTTATATTCATTAGATAAGTAGGCAATGGAAATAATATTTAATGTAATATTTGAGCTACCTTTCATGCAAAAAATGATCAATGACAAAAACAAATTTTAAAAATATTGAATAGGGTTTACACTATTTCCTTTTGCTGCAATGAATAACTTAGTGTACTTTATCGCCGGGTCTTGTATTAGCACCGAGGACTGCATCATACTGTATAATGGAGTGACAGTAATGAAGTTATTGCAGAAGGATGTGCAATGGATGAAGAACTCAACCCTGTAACGTCAATACTAATGGATTTTTCTCATTTTATCAAGTTATGCTGTTCCTTTTGAGAGCTACATCATAACAAATTGGTTCTCTTGTTACTACTAAACAATTTAAATTGAAACTTATACACAAGTGTTCGGCGTTTTGGCGCAGTCATAAACATTTTATGTAAAAGCCGAATACCTGTGCACCTTGGTTGCCTAGCCCTCGGGGGCAAATGTCACATGCGTAATACTGTTAAACGAAATTTCTCACTACATGTTCACTAGCAAAAGTTACAATTTTTATCCCTTTACACGACTTAGAAGTTTGTAAAATTTATTCTGAGACACCGTATATAATATTCAATTACATGCGGGTATTTTTTATTGGTCATTTCAAAAATGTATATAACGTATATGAAATGTCATGTCGGACATACATAAGGAGAGGGTGTTCGTGACTTTGTGGGTTGAGGTCCACCACTACAAAACTATTGATTGGAGAAGGAGGGGAGTAATAGAAATCCGTACGCACCCAACAGATCATCACATATACAATGAAAAGAAGGTTCTCAAGACATTTTAGTGCATTAGTGACGAAAAGTGACTAAAACACATTTGACCAGTAAAACGCATCAAGTGTGTTATTTTCCATACTTCACACAACGCATGTTTATTTATTATACGGCGTATATTGCATTTTATAATTCTGTTATTTGTAATAATAATAATAATAATAGTAATAATAATATATTTATTGCTATGCAAAAGCCGAGTGTCATTGAAAAGATTGATGTACAGTTTAATCTTTGAATACCATGTAAATGAGGGTTTTTGACATACACTTGAATTATTTTTTTACGAAATTAAATGACGAGGGAACGACAAAGTGATTTTGTGAACGTATTTGTTAAACGACTCTTTATGCCAGACGTCGGTGGGGCGAGATGCCACCTCGTTTGCAAACCCGGGAAAGAGGCTGCAGCGCAATGTTGCGGGCGCAGAGCTGTGCGCAGAACGGCTGTTGCGGTGTTTCAGTGCCCCAGCAGGGGGAGCTCCACATCACCACAGAGTTCGGCAAGATGGACGTCGCTCCCAACGAGATCTGCGTCATTCAGGTCAGTTGCCGGACTTCCCTTCTTTGCCACATTCCGTTCGCGAACACTAGAGGTCAGGAGGAGCAACTCCATGCTACAGCTTCTAGATAAAAACAGCAGCGCAACTACCACCATTCAATGCCCCCCAGCCTGATAGAACCGCCAGGCAGCAATGAGGAGCTGAACAGAAAGGATAATTGAAGGCACTGTGGAGACATTCATACAGAGATATATAATATATTTAATTAATATAACTAAATAAATAATATATTTTATTTACAGATAATATTGTTTTTGGCTAGATTGGTGGTTCCCAACATGTCCAATAACGCACAGTTCGAACTCCCCTGACAACTAGATATAAAATGGCGAAATATCCAGCGCACAGGAATAAGCCTCTTTCTGAATTTAGGGACGAACTCCATTTTTTACACCACAAATATGTCACCGCTCTATATGTTTGCCCACAAATAATTGCATTAAGAATAAAATTCTTATAATAAATTATTATAAGATCTAATATTACGAGCCGATGGCATTTTAGAAAGAGTAAATTCCTGAAATAGTTTGTCTTTAGACAATCATTATAGGGCACAATGGGTTAGTACAATTAGGTAATATGTTAATAGTTAATAATTAGTAAGTCCGGCGAAAAGTGCAATAATAACAGCATGGAGTGCTCAGGCTCCAGGAAGGAATTCTTAGAAACCAGCAAAATTCATAACGACTTCAATTATAGAAAAATTAATATGATTTCCCGATGATGATGCATTTTCATAAAATTGATTTAATTAAATTCCCTATCATCCTTGTACGAAGCTGCTACCAGAAATTGTGTGTAAATTTCTTATTATCTTCTTCACTATTATAAGACTAAGAGAGTCAACGTGATTAGAATGTAAACATTACTTTTGCAACTCAATAGACTATATACATTATGGGACAAACATATTGGCGGGCAATGGGTATCTATATCATTTGAAATAATTTAAAAGTAAAATTAGAAAAATACAAGTTTCCCGTGAAAATTAAAAATGTCTCGTTTCTATTTGCCTCGCACTACTAGTATCCTATTCCAGTATTTTACACACACTCGATTCTATTTCACAAGATTCGCCAAGAAGCAAATACTGTAGTGTAAATCACCTTTAAAGTACAGTATTTTAATACAAATATACAGATATTTAGCATCCTACTCTATATTAGGACAATTATTAACAAAGTTGTCATTTATGGAAGATAAACGGTCCGGAGATCTAACTTTAGAGGCAAGTGTTTGAATCCATAGCTGACTGTCCAGTGTGCTGAAGTCCTCAGAATGTATTAAACGGCACCCTTTCCATCGTATTCTTAGTCAAAATGAACATAAAAGTGGTATGCACATTTGACAGTATAAGTATTATAAATAAATATTAGAGAGATATAAATGATATTACGAACAGTCACAAAATTTGCATGAACATGTGTCGTCTGATTATCGCAAGTGTCGAAGAGTATTAAAAAATAAAATTCTGGTCTCATGGAGAAACGCGTTTGGTTGTGCGGTATATTCAAAATTAATTGTGACATTTCGTGATGTTGGTTTTTTTCTCATCAGGAGATGTTTGAACCTGAATGTGACAACAGTGCATTTAGTAGCACAACCAAATCACTGGAAAACATTAACTACAAACCTAACGTAGAACAAATAACAAATTCCTAAAGGAGCGCATCATGGCAGCAACAATTATTTCACACGGATTTTTCTCTGGTTTTCGTAAAACTCTATGATGCACGTTGCATAATATCTGTTTGATTGAAGTGTTAAAATTGCATAGTTTTGCACAACCTTTTTGTTCCAAACTATGACAATGCAAGTAGTCCCAAACTTTTACGGCAAATTGAATTGCTACCACTAAATTCTCTTCTAGTGCCTCCCGATTCCTCTCTACTCGATAGAGCTATCCACCAACATGACGAGACATAACGAGAATTCAATATTTGCACGACACTCGGCCACCACAGTTGAGAACTACGGGGTCCGCGCGTCATGTGCACTCGATAATTCTGCTTCTGATCATTTTCCGATTTCCCTGACGTAACGTAAAAGTCGAAGCACCGGATCGTACAGACGTTGAAGGTACAGCTCTTGTGGAAGGTGGAGTGAGACGTGGATTGCCTCCACAGCAAGGCATGCGCTTCAGCGTCGACGTGCAGGGGCCGTCGCGGGGGTACATCCTGGAGGTGTTCGACAACCACTTCGAGCTGCCTGACCTGGGGCCCATAGGTGAGTAACCCTTAGACTGTCATGTGTTCCAAACAGATACAGATTTTCCCCGCCAGACAAAGTCATATGGATCATTCTAATGTACAAGTTGTGCTAGTTAGAGTACGGGAGAAAAATTGGCGTAACCTGGCAGCGTAGTTTTGAGATTAACATACGTGGTAGTAAAAGGTTAATACATTTAAACTTGCTCATTGTGTAATCTCAAAGCACTATCGTTTTTTGCTGATTACACAAGTTCCCGCATTATTCAATAAAATAGAGTACATGTTTGCCAGTTCTGCGATTAATGTTCATACTGGAGAGGTCTTCGCATTTTACACGTTCTTCGCCCACCGGACAAGTTCACTGTATGCCAGATTCAATTTTTTAAGATTTACTTCAAACCACAGCAATGTCTGTGTGTGCGCGCGCCTGTGGCATATGCAACCCTCCGCACGGTCGTGCTGGGATGGTTGCTTTGCTCGAACTCCCTCCCTTCTTCTGTCTTGGTGATTCCCATTCAGATGTGAATCCCAAAGTTATTTTTCTCGCAATAGCATGAACATCGTGTCCATTTTCTGCTTCGCCATTACTTCCATTAGCGTACGAGTTACAAGTGGGAAGAGACACATCTTGGCCACAATGGTCTTACGAATTATCGCGAAGTTGCAAAGTAAATAGGGTCGTCGTTCCCTCACTGTAGAATTATTAACTGAGGGCAGCGAGCATCAGCTGATAACCGAAAGGTTAAGTTCACGTTGAATCTCCCGATGAAGATAATTAATCTTAGATGTAAATTTGTTTCTTTTTATTTAGTTTGTCATTTTATTCTAACTATATTATGCCATTTGTTTTAAGAATTATGTCGAAAGAAAGTGATTTCAAATGAAATTAATTATATTCTAGACGTTTAGCGTAGTCTTGAAAACCTACTCATCATCAGACAGTAATTAATTAATTTAAAATATCTAAATGTTATTTTATACTATTATGTAGTACAAAAAACAAAATCAAATTTGTTCTTTTATTATGTTGCGTACAACATTTCAGTGCTTTACCATAACCTTGGGTCATGGAAAAAATTATACAAATGGAAGGAAACAACCCCCAAGGAATGTATTTGATATTATATTTAAATATATCTTAAATCTTTTTAAACTGCTTACTTTCTACCAATGAGTTCAGATATTCATTTGATTTTGTTTAATGTTTTTGATACTTGGCGGGACTATTTTCTGCTTTTTTGTCTTTAAAGTTTTTATATTTGTAAAATAAATATTGTGATTGACAGGCAAGCATAGAATTAATTACATGTTAATAACAAAACAGGTTCACTTCACGGCAGGCTGCTCAGATCGGTCGTTTTTTGTGGTTTCTCCGATCAACATCAGGCGAAAGCCGGGGCAGCTCCCTAACGGACCTCGCGCGATCTTTCCTTCCTCTTCCTTCCGTCCTACATTCGCCCCTTTCACATCAGGGGCTCAGAGCTCGAGGCGGCGCTCCGCTGGCGGGAGATACCTCGTTGAGGAGCCAATGCGCGTGTTGTGTGTGCGTCGCAGGGGCGAACGGGCTGGCCAACGCGCGCGACTTCCTGTCGCCGGTGGCGTGGTTCGAGGAGCGCGCGGTGGACGGCGACGGCTTCCGCGTGCTCAACAAGTACCAGGGGCGGCTGTTCGAGGCGCGGCAGGCGCACAGCGCCTTCGACGTGGTGGCCTGGCACGGCAACTACGCGCCCTACAAGTACCCGCTGGCGCGCTTCATGGTGGTCAACGCCGTCGCCTTCGACCACTGCGTCAGTCCCCCTCGCGCACGCGCACGCGCACGCCCGCCGCAATGCAAACACCAGCCACCAAGGGACAATGCCCGGCGGAGGCCTAAGCAAAATAACAGTTTCCATTGGCTGTCACACATTCTAGTTTACTATTGGTTGCATCTGACAATCAATTTCTAGGTATCGACTGTGTCCATGGCGTGAGTCAGCTTAAACACGTAGTCCTAACTTTTATGTTAACGTCATGCTAGTGTTTATATTTGCATTGTGAATGCGCCTTTAGGGTTCGCGCGAGATACGAGTATCAGGGAGCGGCAGCACTATCGATCTTCTGCGCATGCGCTAAAGTGATGCGAAACTTGAACAGCTCATGCGCAGAAGATCGATTGTGTATTAACGTTCGAGGATGCACAAACTCCCTATCTGTACTATACTGCTTTAAAATTATTAACAGTAGTAAAAGATGGGGGAGGGGTGTAAACGACTGACGCCAGCGCTGCTTTCGTCGTATTTAGGCACTACAAGGTATTTCATAATTTAGGACTGTAGTTGACTTTCAAAGCTCAGCCAATGTTTACAAAAAAAAGTCACCATGCATAATCGCTTCGAGGAACTCAGCAATTTTCTTACAGATCTGCCCATTAAATCTTGAACGTTGAAATCTTATTTTAGTATTTGTTGATGAAGATAACACTTGTGCTTTCGTAATCACATAGGGAATGAATGTTGAAATATTTCTTTAAAAAAAAAAAAAAAAAAAAAAAAAAAAAAAAAAAAAAAAAAAAAAAAAACACGCTATTGCTGTCCATAACAAAATAATAGCTAGTACAAGAATTGTGAAAAATATATGCGGCTCTGCCAGCCCTCAAAAATGTTAAAATGTTTTAACTCAAACTTGCAGAAAATTGTTGTCTTGTATACAATTTTCTGAGGACCGCCCTTGACACTCTCCGACATTGGTGTTCTTTGTGTTGGTACGCAACTGTTAGAAGTTTTGGAGAACTAGGTCACACATTCACTCCGTCGCTGCTATTGCATAACTGATCCTTAAACGACAGATACCAAAATAATATTATAACGCGATTTCCTCGAAGCGATTAGGCATGGCGACAGTTGCGGATTCTTTTGTGCAAATACGATAAGCGATGAAAGACGACAGAGACGCGAGCCTGGTCGTTTGGCGTGGCAGGACCCGTCCATCTTCACGGTGCTGACGTGCCCCTCGGGGAAGCCGGGCACCGCCACCGCAGACTTCGTCATCTTCCCGCCGCGCTGGTCCGTGCAGGAGCACACCTTCCGCCCGCCGTACTACCACCGTGCGTAGCGCTCTCGCATGCGCAGGCGCATGCGCAGGCGCAGGCGCGGCCTCGTGGCTCAGGCGTGTGTGCCCTGCGCAGGGAACTGCATGAGCGAGTTCATGGGGCTGATCGCGGGCCGCTACGAGGCCAAGGAGGAGGGCTTCGCGCCGGGCGGCGCCACGCTGCACTCCATGATGACGCCGCACGGGCCCGACGCGCAGTGCTTCGCCGCCGCCGCCGCCGCGCCGCTGCGCCCCGAGCGCGTCGCCGACGCCACGCAGGTCCGCCCGCCCCGCACAACCTCCCAAAATATCGCCTTTCGACGGCTATCCACAATGCCGCTCGCAAAGAAGCAAGAACGCGTTTTCACCCATAGCACGACACACACGTTCTATCACCTTCATTAAAGAAATCTCTGATTATGACTTATTAGTATACCTAACTACGGACATGATACTACATTCAGGGTATCCTGGACAGGGTCGTGATCCGTAGGTCTTATTACGCTGTTATTTACCAAAACACCAAGTCATACTTGTCATATCCGCAGGTCTGTCAGACTCGAACAGCTATGTCAGCACACCCCAATGAAACATGTCAAATGAATTATTGCTTATTAATTGCCACATTTCGAAATAATTGACACTATTCGATTTATTACTAATTAACTGTTATTTAATTACTACAATTTCGAATTAATAGACACGTATTTTCGTGGCTAAAACGGGTGTGACACGACGCCAGCACACATGTAAGTTAAATTCACGTCCTTTAAGCTCGCAAAGCCATTTGCACAAAACACATTTTCTATACAACCAGAATTTTGTGCTTTTCAAATATTAAAAAAAAAAAAAATCCTCCAGCCATTTTTCCAAAAATTGGGTCTTTGCGGGGAAATGATAAGCTGACAAAGGCAATTCATCAAAAAATATTTTCTTTATGTATACAATATTGTGCTATCTTTTAGCTTTTCAAATTTATAAAGATAAATTTTTCTCTTAGTTTTTCGAAAATTAAAAAGATGACTTCCAGCAGGATTTTATTAAAAACATAAAATCTTTATAACTTTTTATTGAGTTCAGTACATGCTAAAAATTATTTTTGTTATGTTATTTCAAACAATTTGTCATGTTAACAATAGGATAGTCCCCGCTAGGCGCTATGTTATTGTGTAAGAAGACGACTCACAGAAAAAAAAATCCATCAAAATTAGATTTTCTCGACACAACGACCACAAAACAGAACATAACACAATATTTATACATGGCAATTAAACAAAAAACATGGAAATCAATTTCAAATTGTGGCAATTAATTAGCAACCAGTCATTTTATATGATTCATTCGCGTGTGCTGAATAAGTGATAATCCTACTCGGATGGCGCTCTCTCGTGTTCACAGGCCTTCATGTTTGAGAGCTCCCTGGGTCTGTCGGTGACCAAGTGGGGCGAGGAGACCTGCCAAAAGTTAGACCACGACTACTTCAAGTGCTGGCAGGGCCTGCAGAAGCACTTCGACCCCAACTGGAAGCCAGATCACTAAGGCTACACGCGAAGCCCGAAGAGAAGAAAAGAGCATTGTTGATAAATCTGCTGCTATGCGTCGTGTGATGGAACTTCTGGTAACGCACGATTGGAGCATGGAATGCACCTTGCGGACTCGCCCAACTGCTTACGCGCCACCTTTCGTCTTGCAGGCACAATCAACCAAAATGTGACTAATACGTCGTCAAAGAGAGTATGGACCATGACGCAAGGACATCCTAGCCAGCTGGTAGGGACAAAAGAAAAATGTGTATGCCGTCTCAGAAACGCTAAAATAGTGAAATCTGACTTCAGCGATATTCGCGTTAGGTTTACTAGAAAAACATCTCACCCTAATGGTATCGTAAGCGATTACTATTGGTACCTGCAAAACATGGCCCATTTATAGAGTAGTCCGCTTAATCACTTTTATCAGGTTATCATATTTTCTTTAACCTTTTTAATTACCACAAAATACAACTTAAACAAGGGATTTAATATATTTTTTTCTCCTCTCATCCAGTGTACAATCCCTTACTATTATTTCCCTACTTTAGACTTAGTCGCTTATTCGAGAAATTCACTTTCGTTCTCCCCCACACAAAGGCTTCATCCTGTAGAAACTTAGGCGCACCCTTAGGATCGTCACCCGGAGTTCTCGAATTACCTTCAATTGCTTTCGCGTATGAAGCGGCGTACTCCGAGAAATGTTTCACAGAGGGGAAGCAGGGATTAGCAAACTTTATGAGAATGGGTCTAATGAAGGCATTATTTCATAAAGGCACATTCATTACAACAATATTATTCTCCGAAACGGACATTACTCTACCGTTGAGATAAGAGAGTCTAGATGTACGGTTGAAGTAAATATATGTCCTGTCGCAGGAATTGAATGAAGGCGACCAACATTTTCTATAACAATTGAAAATCTCTTTAGGTGACCGCTTAATACAGGTGTCTACAAAATGAGCTTGACCACTTACAAGAGGAAATACAAGGGAGTTCAAATATGACCGGGACTGATTTTTTTTACGAAATACTTTATTAGCAAAAATTTATTTGTACATGTCATTCCTTCACGAGTTATTCCCTCCAGATTTTATACATTTTTTCCAACGTTCTGCCGAACATTCTAATGCCCTTTTCAAATAAAAGTATTTTGGTTTGTCGCACTATCCAGCTCCCGAACACTGTGGGATGACTGCGTCATTAATCCCGCTAATCGCTTGCCTTGCAAATGTGATTTAAGCTGTCCAAACAGGTAAAATCACTTGGGGCCAAATCTGGACTGTACGGCGGATGTGGTTAGAAAGTCCCAACTTCAATTTGCTGATCGTTGCCCATGTTTTTTTTAACAGTATGAGGCGCGTGCATTGTCTTGAGGAATGCTAGCCCACGTTTCCCACCCTCTCTTTCCCGTTTGGAATCGGATCTTTATTTGATTTCTGTTTCCAAAGTGCTGAATAATAAAGCTGTAATTGATGGTTTAGCTCTGTAAAGAAAGTCTACATGAATAACACCTTCCAGTCCCAAAAAAATGTTAGCCATCCACTTTTTTCCGCGAACGGATCTTCCGACGCTCTCTGGTTTGGAGAAGAGGCCGTGTCGGCCATTCCAGTGATGCCTGCTGGGACTCAGGAAATAAAATATGAACCCACATCATCAATCGGTTTCAATCAGTGTTACAATTGGACTTCAAAAAATGCATGCTCTATCATCTTTCAAACCCGCATTAGAAGAACACTGGCAGCTTGCACTGCGCATCCAATTTGTTCTCATCGCGTCAAAGTGGTGGAACCCCCGCTAGCATTCACTTTTCTAATATTTTCGGTGTTTTTATCGTCTTCTACACTACCCCACACTGATGCCCACACATTACACTACGATCGGCACACTTCTTTTGATAGTGATGCGCCTGTTCTCAAAAATAACCGCATTAACAGCGATCAATGTTTGTTGGGCGTTTATGGATTTCGCGGCCGACGATTCTGAGGTTCATTCTCACCACGCTTCTCGTCCTGCTCTGAAACACTTACAGCATTCAAACACACGGGTCCGTGAGAGGCACTCCTTCCCTGTACTTGGTTTTTTGAGTCTCTGCAAAATTATCCGACGCGTGAAACGTTTCTCCAAACGAGAACAACTCTTGATGATCAGACAGCGTTGTTCCACAGCCACCGTGTGCACCTTTTGTTTCACTCATCGTTCTAGCAAGACCCAGACTCGACTGAACCAGGTTTAACGCTGCAAAGGAGGAGAGGTGGGGGGTTGTGGCTGATTCTCTCCAGATCGGCGCAGTTAATGCGCATGGCGGAGTATTTGAAAAAAAAATCAGTCCCGGTCATATTTGAACCCCCTTGTATTTACGCGTGTATTTCCGAAAACTTAATCGGCACCACGAACAAACGACCGCTTAATGGCGGTGACCGCTACGTGAGGTGATCGTTACGGCAGAAGGCTGGATCGAGTCATCATATCAGCAATTTCCTCATTAACTTGTGACTTTTACAAATTAAATATAAGCAAATTAAAAAGTCATATTTCCTAAAGTTGGCCTAAGGTTTGGCATGTAACAATCGTTAATTACGATCAAATTAATCGAGGATCAAGAACTAACTACCTTAACACTTTCCATTTAATCTAGTACCTTCTAAATTAATTTATTTTCTTTCTTACATTAATCCTGTGGATTGAACAATTTGTTTATAAACAATAAAAAAGTTTGAATCAAGAGCCAACTTATGTTTTGGGGGCAAACGTGATTTACTGTCCCTCACAATTTCATTGATTTATTAGCTATGTCATAGCCATCAGTATATCCATCATAGATTTTAACTTCACAAAATTTAAAATACTAATAAAAATTATTAGTCATTTTGTTGACAAAAGCAGAATAAAATCACAATTATTCAATTGCTCACACACTGCAATCTACTTCGCTACTGTTACGATCTTCATCTATTTGTGATATACTAATTGAGCTGATCACTTCTTTAACTCTCACCTTTAGTCTTCACAATAACCTGTTTCCAATTAAAGAAGGTCAAATCAACACCACTGGACAAGATGTCCCATTATTATGACTGTATCAAATACTGGCATTAATGTATTTTGCATAAAATTAACAGAATCATTTTATATAATTGTATAAAAAACAAACATTTATTAACTATTTATATAAGTTTGTTATTCCTTTATTGATTTGAAGTTAAACTAGCAAAGACTACACATTATCTAGTGTTATATTCTCTTTATACAATAATTTAATTTTATCACTTACTGACACATTTTTGAAGGATATTTATTAATGAAAATTTCAGAGTACGAGATTATCACAAATTAACAATTATGTGATAAGTTTGGTTCATGTGTTTAGCCTACAACTCACAAGTTCAATATATAATATGCTACATTTTTGAAATAACATAAAAATAATTTTTAGCATGTACTGAACTCAATAAAAAGTTGAAATGATTTTGTTTTCAATAAAACCCTGCATTATAA